CTCTATCTCTATCTCGCCCTCTATCTCTATGTCTCTATATATCTTTCTATCTCTCTCGTTCTCTCTCTCTCTCTTTTTCTCTCTCTCTCTATCTATCAAGCTATCTATCTGGTTCTCTCTCTCTCTCTCTCTCTCTCTCTCTCTCTCTCTCTTTCTCTCTCTCTCTCTCTCTTTCTCTCTCTTTCTCTCTCCGTCCCCCCTTCTTTTTTCTCCGCATCCTCCTCTTCCGCTCCTTCCTCTTCCTCAAACATCTGAGGAGGGGGGGGGGGGTTAGTACACAGCTCTTTGGACCCCTTACAGCATCTCGAAACGTATTCGAACTCCGGTACGAGGCACCGTTCACATAATATTCGCGGACGCACCAATTCACTGTCATAACGAACCTTTCCGTCCTGGAACTAAACTGGGTCAACTGCCTTTCTTTCACTGCTCGTAGAATTCTTTATACTGCCGACTTCTTTGAGTCGACCCCAAAGCTAGAGGTATACCGAACAGTCGTGTCCCCAAAGAAACGGACAATGGTCATTAATGTCAAGAAAAGGTGCTATGGCGTTCAGTGAATACTGTGGATTATAGGTCAAAGCTTCTACTGTCGCGACTTGAATGAGTCCTCATACTAATTTGCATAGTATGGAGACTTTCAACAGGGGAGTCACTATAAAAGTAAAGAGAGCTGGCTGGAATGATTGTGAGCTTTTACTCCCAGAAAATGTCCTTTTGTCATTTTTGGTAAGAAGGGAAAAGCTATTCGTTTAGATTTAGAAAGAGTTTTACGGCACTTGCATCACGATACGGTTATATAAGTGCAGAAGGTCAGAGGTGTCACATGAGAGTAACAAACTCAAAAAGAAGGAGGAGATCTAAGGACGATAGATGTTCGATAAAAAAAAGAAGGGGCAAACCACAGAGAACACCCGCCAACCATCCACTAAAGTTCTAATTAAGAAGAAGATTATACCGGGTTTTTTAACACAATAAAAATCACGCCCACTCGTGAAACAAAACTTTTTCTTACGATAATTACAGCAAATGTAAAACTACGGGTAAATTTTTGTTTAGTTCTTGTAACAATTTTGTCTGCCACAAACTTGTGTATGTATAAATGTATCAACATGGCACCAGACTAGGCAAAAGTTAAAAAGTCTAGTAGTTGCTGGATCGATAATATCAGCATCTTATTGCTTACTACCTGGTCTTATTCGCCAGTTGCCCCAGAGCGTATTGAAAAAAGATGAAAGAATGAATAATCTGAATCATGTCAACAATCTTGTCCTGAACTAATCAAGATATATATATATA